TATGGATCCGATAAGCTGCAATCTGGATGGTCCCACTCTGACCACCAGGCACACTGGCTCCTGGATCTCTAAGGACGTGCTAATTTAGCCTCTGCCTGAGGCTACCCAGCAGGAGCTCAGCTGTGAAGCAATTCCAGTTGCCTTGGGGCCTGGGTTTTATTTTGGTCAAGTACACCTACCTGGGTTGTAGGCTCCTGGGGCTGGTCATGAGGGCTGATCGGTGGTATATAGGAAGCAGCCAATCCATATATCTCTCTGCCATTGGTATTTCTGTTGCTCCCTCTCCCTTCCACGAGCCCCAAAAATCAATGGATAAATATCCTCAAGTGAGGATTAAATAAAAAGATGAATGAATAAACAAATAAAATTATAGTAGTACATATAGAAAACTTTAAAACATTATTTAGAATAATAAAATTTTAGAGCTGGACATATTATAGCTAGCTTTTTAAAAGTAGAATTTATGGCCTAGCTGGTGTGGCTCAGTGGTTGAGCGTTGACTTATGAACTAGGAGGTCATGGTTCAAATTCAAAAATACAACTAAAAGACAAAACGGACATCATCCAGAACCACAGGGAAGCTGGCTGAGTGGAAATTCTACAACTAGAAGGAAATAGAAAAGCACACTGAGACTCAGAGGAGGTGCGGAAGGGCAGAGGTATGGAGGCCCACGCGGCAGGGGATGGCGACTGAGGACACAGCTGTCTTTTTTAATCGGGAGGGAGTCACAAGCCCCCGACTGCTCTGAACTCCAGTTCCGGGTGAGTCTCTGGGGACCTAGACTCATAGGAAGAGAAACTGGACTGTCTGGCAGTGGGCAGAACTCGAGGGCGGCTTTCTCTCAAAGGTGCTTGAAGCGATTGCCAGGACACTGAGACCCGGGGCCCCTTAGGGCAGGGCTGAGGATCAGCCATAGCTGCTTGCTCCACCCTGTTGATTCCCTGAGTCCCCGCCCCACCCAAGCTGCAGCAGAGGCTTTTGCATATGAATGCCCTGGCCCTTTGCAATCTGAAAATTACCTAACAAACTGCAGCTGGGCCAGACAGACCCAGAACTTCCAAGAGAAGGCCCAAGGCCCCACAGCAGCTTGCATTGCTTCACAGCTGGGCCTCATTTGGGCACCTCCAAACCCCAAACAAGG